GGAACAAGAATATAGAGAATGCTCGGTATTTTGTGGAGCGAAAATACTGAGAACACTCCGATTTCCCGAGAAGGAATAGAACAAGAATACGGAGAACGCTCGGTATTCTTTGAGAGAATCTTCTCTCGCTGTTCTGGTCGGAACGGTTGTTTGTAACGGACAGGTCGGAGGAGCGGATAGGACTGTGTCTTTTTCACAAAATTCGTCGGATATTTATACCTGTCTCCGCGCCACGTGTCAACTTTAGTTGATTAAGCGTTTGTTAAGTAAAATAGCTGATCACGTCGTCGATGCGTGACAGCTCGCCGGCGCGCGTGTGTCGGTCGGTCGCGATCGGGAGTGTTCGGGCGGCCCGGATGGTGCAGGCCGCATTAGCGCGCGCTAGCAACGGAGCATCTTTCGGATGCTCCGTTACAATGTATTTATCTTCTTGTTTATCTATTTGTTTATCTACTTTTTTATTCACTTGTTTATATCTCCTTCACCGAATCCTACTATCTTATCTCCTCTCCCACGGCTCAGTTCAAAGGATCGCCGCCTCTGACTTTCTCCTCCCCTCTTCCCCGCGCCCTCCATTCCCTCCCGCACACTCTCCTCGGAGAACCTGGGTTAGAACCGGCCTAGTATACCTACTAAAATGCATTGATGACTTTATTGCTTCGAAGCCGGTGAGCTTCTATCGTCAAGGAATTCGTAAACTACCCGAAAGATGGTAAAAAGTCGTTGATGCAAACAGGGAATATTTCGCTGATTAATATTTTTTTGTTTATTTTTGAATAAAGATAGAATTTTACAAAAAAAAGCTCAGAACTTTTTTGTACACCTAATAATATATGCATTCTTCTTAACTTTATCCATTGCTGTTCAATTAATCCTAATTAATTAATTTTAGCATTTTTTTCCCCACTACAGTTAGATAAAGCTAATTATTTTATATTATACAAATATGAATATATGATCTAAATTGAAGTTTTCATGTAATAAAATAGTAATTTATATACATATTTCTATACTCATCTAAAGCTATATTTTAACTTCACTCTTAATTTATAAGATTTTATTCACTCATACATATCAGGTCCTTTAGAATATTGTTTATGTCTTTTAAACATTGTTTTCTTGTACACATATATTAGATCCTTTTAAGGTATTATTTAACATTTCTTTTGAACATTGATACTTTTTATGTAACTTTCATTTAAACTTGCAATAGGAAGAAATATCTTTTTTTCATAAAAGTTTATCAATTCATTATATAATTATGTAACATTACACAATTATGTAAAATTATAAAACAGCATGATTCCTCTAGTAACTAGAGGAGATTCAACGTTTTATTTATTTATAAAAATAAAAATAATTTAGCAAATAGATATCTAAATGACAATTTGGGACGAAAGGTATACGGATGGTATGTTTCTCATACGGCGATGCTCCTAAGGCACAGCCGTTCGGCGGTTGGCCGCTGAGACTCGAGCGGTGGTGAGAGAACTGTAGGCGTCACCTTCGAAATCGGTTCGAAATGTGCAACTACCAGGTGTATGCATAAGTTTTTTCCGGTTTTTTAGTAAAAAAAGACACGTAATTTTCAAGGGAAATTAATTTTTTTTTATTCAAAATATTGGCCATCGGCTTCTACACATTTCGCCCATCTTTCAGGTAATTTATGAATACCATGCCAGAAAAACTGCTGTCTTTTGCGGCAAACCATTCGTCGAGCCATTTTCTAACTTCCTCGAAATTGCTGAAGTGCTGCTCTGCGAGCGCGTGCCCCATTGATGCGAAGAGATGATAGTCAGATGGCGCTAGGTCTGGGAAGTACGGCGAGTGCGGAAGGATGTCCCATCCAAGCGAGGTTTCAAGGTGTCTTTCACTGGTTTTGCTGTGTGAGACGGCGCATTGTCGTGTAACAAAATCACTTTGCCATGTCTTCTGGCCCATTCCGGTCGTCTTTCGATTAATGCGTGGTTTAAATTAATCATTTGTTGGCGATAGCGTTGTGTATTAACGGTTTCGCCGGTTTCAAGAGTTCATAATACACAATACCGCTCTGGTCCCACCAGAGCATGGTCTTCTTGCCGAAGCGATTTGGCCTTGGTGTTGATGGACTGGCTTCGCCAGGTGAAAGCCATGATTTTTTCCGCTTCGGGTTTTCAAAATAAATCCATTTTTCGTCACAATTCGATACAAAAATGATTTCCTTTCGTGGTGTTGAAGCAGCATTTCACAAGTGATTTTGCGATTTTTCATTTGACGTTCATTCAAATCGTGTGGGACCCATTTACCAAGTTTATTGATCTTTCCCATTTGCTCGTAAACGTCGTCTGCTGATTGTTTCTTGTAATACATGTAATGCTTCTGCTAATTGCCGTTGAGTTTGAGTTGGGTCATCATCCAATAACTCCTGCAATTGCTCGTTTTCGCATTTTTGTGGTCTACCAGAGCGCTCACTGTCTTTCACATTGAAATCATCACTTTTAAATTGTCGAAACCATGTCTCACATGTTCTAATCGATGGAGCGTGTTCACCATATGTTTCTACCAGCAAACGATGACTTTCAACAGCCTTTTTCTTTTGATTAAATAAAAAAAGCAATGCGTGCCGCAAATGTTCTTTTTCAGGCACAAAACTCGACATGATCACTGAACGATAAAACAAAGACGCTAGTTTTTGGCGGACTCAACTTGTGTGTGTTTGTAGTTTTAAATGTCAGACGAACAAAATGATGTATGTGTCAAATTAATACGCTGCGTACTTTTCGCTGGCGACATCTCTTAGTTAAACCGGAAAAAATTTATGCATACACCTGGTAATTCCGAGCGCTGATGTAAAATGATAATGTTAATAACATTTCAACTTGGCTTCCTATTCTTTTAACTTTAATCTTTGTCGTTCAATTAATAATTAATTAATTTTAGGATTTTTTCCTAACCATAATTAGACAAAGCTAGTTATTTTATATTATATAGATATGTATATAAATATGAATCTAGATAACATCAAATTGAAATGTTCATATAACAAAATAGTAACATTTATATGTATTTTTATACTTATCTAAAGCTATATTTTAAGAGATGTTTTTATACTCATCTAATTTTAAGAAATATAAACGATACTTTAAAACAGAGGTCGATAAAACGCTGAAATTGGGCACGAGCGCCCGCGGGCGCTTGCGAGTGCTCGCCTGTTGTGCACATCTCAGGAGCGTATCTAATATTTTTTGTATCTTGGGATACAGTTTCGCATTTCATACTTACAAAAATAGCGTTGCATGTATATATGAAATGGTGTAGTCTTAAATTATTAGTACTCGAATCTTTGTAATATCATAAAATTTTTTATAACAGTTTAGTTAAACCGTTGAAATATGCAAAAATATGTTGTAATATATAGGACTTAAAATGCATAAATTCTTATAAATTGAACTTACATTTAGTTAATTTTTTTATTAGTCGAATAAAGAAATGTGCCCTAACATGTTTTGCTTGTCCTAATAATAAGCATTCATTATAGGAAAATTTTAATTAAAATGCTTCTCTCTATTTTTAAATATTGTAAATTGTCAAAATTTGTGCTTTAGTATATAATTTATTAAAAATTGTGTAATATAATTATTACATTTAAATGTGTTTAACGATTTAAATATGTTTAACGAAAATTTAAATATAACAAAGAAATAAAACAATAATATAAACAATAACAATGTATTAAAATATAAATTTATAATACAATCATTAAAAAAAATTATGAATACATATATCACGAATTTAACAGAAATTAGCGCTTTAAAATTATATTTTAAATCCAGAAGACTAGTTCTTTTTCCGCGAAGAAAACTTCCAACAGTTTCAAAATAAACATCTGCTAAACATCAATCTGTTAAACACTTAAAATAAAAGAAAAAGTAACAGTAACTAAGCAATGGTATAATTAAATTTTACTCTTGTTTCGAACAGTCACAGACACATTTGCGATCTTATTAATTTAACGTAATTTAACGTTTGTGATGGATAATCAAAGTAATAATAATAAGTATAATGAATATAGTATAATGAGTATGCATAATGAATATATTTGGTTCTACATATTCATATGAACAATTATTTTCTATTATGAAATTAAATAATCGCGATTACACGAGCAGTTAATAGATTCATATTTGAATGCAATAATTCGTTTAAGTTGTGCAAAAACAATAACACCTGATATATCGTATATAATATCGAAAAACTATGAAATCTAACTATGAAAACTAGCAAATACTAATTAAATGTTATAAAAATTATTTATTTAATATTGTTGTAAGAAATGTTTATTTAAAATATAGACAGTTAATATTTTATGCTAATTCTGGGTCTGAATTTGTGCGATACAATATCTTTTGACTCCTTGAACAACACGTTCAACGAACAGACGTTCCTATCCTCTCTCCTTCCTTTATTGAGCTTAGCGGCCTAACGCTAACCCTAGCGCGCTCAACTGTTGCCCGCGAGCAGTGCCTACTTGCCGATCCTGCTCTAAAAGGACCTGATATGTATGGATGAATAAAATCTTCTAAATTAAGG